ACTCTTCCTCTCGGGTTCAATATTCATAAAAATCGGACTGAAACTGCCCGGTCAAAATTTTATCAGATTTTGATGAAACTTATAGTATACTCTTCCTCCCGCTTCAGATTTTTTGTAAGGATTCTCAGAACCAGAATATTTTGTTTTTGATGGCCTAACTTTATAATTTAACCCTTTAGCAATTGGTACGTATAAATCTTGACTACCGTAGATCCTTGAAGATAATGAGAAAGAAGGGATGTATACTCTTCAAAAAAAGTAGGGGATATTCAGAAACAATACAAAACTGCGGAAATGTACTACTGTTTTTATTAGAGGTAACCAGTGTATGTTAATAACAGGCCAATTGCCTACACATGAACATAAACAGTTCATATGGGCGGCTTATCTGACTGCCCCATTTCACTAGTAATTCGTCGTGGTATGCTCCTAATCATCCGTCCAATCACGATTTGGGTCAATCTGACCCACTCCTCTTTCAGTGCCACAGCCAATTCTTGCAGTGTTGTCAGTTGACGTTGACGTCGACGAACACATCTCCCGATCAAATTAAACGTAACACACTAAAGCAAAGATACGCTAAACAGTAAATCTTATGCAAGAACCGATAGGAAAGCAAACATGAATAGATAAACTAGCACGCGGCAGTTTTCATCGACCCTTCCTTGAAGGCGCTATTGCGTGTCGCATGTGCAGCTCAGTGGTTCTGTTGGGGCGATAAGTTCTTCATCTGTGAACATACTCTCAAAGCATGTCAAGTGTCCATGACTATTTATCATATCACAACCTACATAGATATTTGCATTTCAATATCCCCTACTTTTTATACGCCCACATAGAAATGTGGACGTATATTGCCATTGCTCCCGTGCGTCAGTCTGTCGGTCCGTCCGTCTGTCTGTCCATTGTCCACAATTTCATCCAGTTTTTATCATCCAGTTGTTTTAAAATTGATAAATGTTATTTGCATTAGTGAGATGAATTTCTGTTTATTACGTCTAGAATTATGGCCCTTGTTTCACTTTGTTGAACCTTGTGAACGCTCTAACGCCAAAAGTTAACATCCGATCTTTGTGAAATTTATATGCAATATTTAAATTGGGGAAACGAAGAAGCCTATTGAATTTCAGCAATTTCCATTTATTACTTCTAGAGTTATGGCCCTTGTTACACTTTGTTTAACCTTGTGAACGCTCCAACGTCAAAAGTTATCATTCGATCTTTCTGAAATTTATATGCATTATTTAAAGATACATTATTGGAGATTTTTATAAGGAGTTAACCATTCTTGCTATAATAGTTCAAAAATAGATGATGAAAGAAAATTATATTGAAAATTTCAGTCAAACTACTTTATTCTGAACATAGTTATCACCAGTGTAATTTTTGACTAGAAATGGGATTGAATTGCATCTTCACCGATTCTTAGTATGGCCGATCGTTTGATTGACAGGCGTTAACTCCACATACTTAATATCTGCTGTCTTTTGTCTGATGTTATCATATCCAAATTTGTGTTTTACCTTTTTGGATTTTTATAACAATTGGACAAAATGAGTGAGAGGGTAAATTTTCATTCTTACTTGTATTTTGGGCATGCATTAAATCAATTGAAAATAGGACATAATATTATAATAGAATTATGATAAATCTATGGTATACACCAGTGGCGTCGTGCCTATTGGGGAAATGAAAATATTTTTATTGATATTATTAAGACAGAAAACCTGTCCGTCTGTATTAGTCATCTCATGGTCTCCAGGAGTTGTATAATTTGTCATTATCTGTGTTTAGTTTATTGCACTTGAAATAGTTTAGATGTCATTTGTTAAGGCATCGCTTAACAGCGGCCTCGCTTCGTACACTCTATCATTTAGCCTCGATCTGGGAGTATGACGTCAACGTAACGGTTAATCTCCGCTCACGTCGCCATTTAAAATTAAATCAGACAACAAAATCCTGTTTAAATCCAAGCTGAATCCAAGCCATCCGTGGGTCTACAGAGTTGATTTTGTGCTAGGGTTATAATTTCTATGACATCTGAAGCCTAAATAAAGACTTGCAATAATCAGATTTACCTCTTGCATAATGTATGTTTAAATTAGTGAAACAAAGAATCCTATTGAATTTCTGCAATTTCCGTATATTACGTCTAGAGTTATGGCCCTTGTTTCACTTTATTGAACCTTGTGAATGCTCTAACGTCAAAAGTTATCATTCGATCTTTCTGAAATTGATATGCATTATTTAAATTAGTGAAAAAAAGAAGGTTATTGAATTTCAACAATTTACAATAATTACTTCTAGAGTTATGGCCCTTGTTTCACTTTGTTCAACATTGTTAATGCTCGATTGATGAAAGTTATCATCCAATATGTATGAAATTTATATGCAGCATTCAAATTTGTGAAACAGATTTATTGAATTTCAGCTATTTCCGTCAATTATTTCTAGAGTTATGGACCTTGTTTTATTTTGTGAACCCTGTGATTGTTTGAATGACAAAAGTGATCATCCGATCACCCTCAAACGACAAAAATTATAATCTGATCTGTATGGAACTGTCTTGTAAATGCCCCCAATTACCTACAAAGGAATAAATATGCGACAACCCTTGTCGACCGCTCGGACAATTTAGCTGCTGTGGGTGTATGTTTCGTTGCCTGGCAACCCTATCTTTTTGAAAAGTATATATGTTTAAATCCCAAAGATGTCAGTTCCTTTTGCTACTCACACATATGGGAACATAACTTCCAGGATTACGGACACTATACGATTTTTATCCGATTTTAATGAATCTTAAAATATATGTTTATATCCCAAAGATCTGGGTTCCTGTTAAGAGTGTATCCGCGAGAAGACCATGCAAAAATCGCAAAAAGTGCTAAGATGGGGGGTCGGAAGTTTTTGATCAAACTTATGGTATGACACCCCCTAGGGGCAAGAGGTAACATGCTGAATTGGTTACAGTCTGATGTCGCTCTAAAGGACTGTACAGGAATTGTTCAATTTATGGGTAAAATTGCGGTTTTCACATGTGTATTTATCACCTTTTTTAAGCACAGACTGCATTCTATGGTGGAATAGCAACCTTCTAATTTTGACCCTGTCTGATAAAGTGGGTGGTCAACTTCTACCCCAGCACTAATTTGAAAAAAAAAATCAGTACATACTAATTTTGTGTGGACTTGTTTTAGGGTACCATATTCACATTGTCCTTATAGTGCAGAAAAAGATACACTGTAACTTTTTCTTTCATGGTCGCAAGTAGAATTTCTTTGGATGGTTTTGAAGTGCTAAGCACATAGTATACATAGGTGTAAAAAAATGACCGGAATGCAACATACTTAAAATATACAGCTTATTGAAAAGTGCTAAAAAAAAGCTTTTGTGATACATTTTTTTTGAATTTAATTAGAGAAATAAAATTTTTGACTTTTATACGTTTTCATCATATCCATAGCCATTATTTGTACCATGTTGTACTCTATATAAGTGTGTATTTGTATTTATTGTATATTTGGTATTGTCGTATTGTCCCTTTAACATATTTGTTGTATTGTCTCTTTAAGATTTCATTTTCAAACAAGTTACCGAAAATGGCTACAAAATGTTTAATTTCAGAGCATGTTTCCACTATTCATTTTGGGACACATCCACTGATTTCTACAATACAGAAATGTGGAAGCTTAAATATTAACGGCAACGAAGCCTAATTGCGTCGAAGTGGGTGCCATTGAACAGTGTAGTATGGTAGCTACAGCTCTCGGGCACCGTCAGCTGCACCTTCAGGGCCGGATTTAGAATAAGAGAGGCCCTAGGCAAACCCCCTGAACAGGGCCCACGACATGGACCTTGGGGCCCTGGGAAAAGCAACTCGGTTAGAGGGTGGGTCTGGGGAAGTCATGCGGTTGGTGGTTCGAATCTCACTTTTAGGTGAATTTTTCATTTTCGTTGGATTATTTTATTTAAAATAATGTCTATTTGAGAGTAATGGATATGTTTGTTAAGATTGAGCACGTCGAAACTCCAATGGAAGGTCGTGGACAACTGCAGAAGTCAATTCCCGTTGACGCCAGATGAGCCATGAACGAATACAGGCCTTTGAAAGTATTTTTTTTAAGATATTTTTATAAAACAGATACTAATGTATTTTAGGGCTGGTAGTAAACACCATATGAATGAAAGGGAAAATAAATTGATAGGTTTATTTTTATCTACTACAGTTAATTATCTCCAAAATAGGGAAATTACAGGTTAATTTCATGGGTTATTGTTTCCTTTACCTAGTTTTTGTCAAGTCGATTCCGGTCATTTTTATTTTTTGTATCAAATGTTGGGAGGTTGCTTGTTCACGTGAGCATAAATTTTTTAAACCCACCCCATGAAAGAAGTAGCTATAGGGCGTCAAACTTTGGGTGACGAAAAATGGGGAATTTAGACAGGCTTTGATATCCAGTCCGTATACAGATCTCGTTCGCCAGAATCGTCTGAAGTTAATATTGTGGTAACAGCACTGAGTCATCGATAAACTGTGTTTGGTCTTTCTGCTACGTATAGTAAAGGTGTAAGGACTTGCCAAAGTTGGTATTTGAGAAAAGACAGATTTGGGCAATTTCACCATATGAAAAATGTTTTTTCAATTTTCTCATACAGGAATTGAAAGATTTATCTAATATTGCACATTTATGTGTTTTGGGACTATCCCAACTTATAAACCAAATTTGGTCAAAATCTGTGATTGAAGCCTTAGCACCTTCTGCATGGTTTTCTCGCGGATACGCTCTTAATACTTGTGGGTATCGGATCACCATAACTTCCTGGATTATGGTCCCTGATTGTACAAAAAATCGCTTTTTTAGCGTGTTCTCTGTCTATCTCTTGCAAAATGTGAGCGTAGCTTGCATGGCAACCGTTGTTTTCTTAAAATATTCTATGAATTTATAATACTTGAACATAGTTAATAATGCGTCAATCAAATGTTAATTGTTTTTAATTAGAATATCTCAACTATGAAGATACCAAGTTTTCTAAGAGTCGTGGAACAGGTGTATTTGGTAATAATGCTAAGGATACTGGAATACCAGCTGATATCTTTAGATTCTATCTTTTATTTGTACGACCAGAATCTCAGGTAAATGCTTACTAATCTAACACAGGGTTCAAACTAGGATCAATTTTTAGAGAGAAGTGACTTCTCCCTACAGGCAAAATAGAGAGAAATCAGGGGGATTTAGGGTGACTACAAGGATAGATCAGATTTCACAAATTGCAACGGTAATGGTACCATTCCATCTTGTTTTGCCATTTCACCATCTAAATTTAAAGGTCACCGGAAAAGCATCAATTTTTTTTTTAAATAATGCAAGTAATTATGTCAACATATAACCCGAACCTGAACGTCAATATTACCTGCAACAGGTAAATTTCAACATTAGTAATTTCCGCCATTCTCCGTGGGTAGTCGGAATTTTCCGTCAATAAGCAATCTGCACATAGAAATATAGACTAGAAAATGAGCAGAAGGACTAAAATGACGTCACAGATTGTTTATTTACGGAAAGTTACGACTACCCACGGAGAATGGGTAACAATCTGCTTTATTTACCGACTATACGTCTACTAATGAGTTTTCCACTGCTAGGGGATACTTTACAATCCATTATTCTATTGTTGTATAGTGATCGTTTTGAATTAAATCCTGAAATATTCTCATTAAAGATAGATGAACACCTACATATGTGAATCCTGAATAAAGAGGTGAAAAACGAATAACAAACAGCTCGTTTTCGCTGCTTGAATAACAAAGTGGACTGTTTTTGTCTAGAAGTCGTTTTGCTGTGTTTTATACTACTGGGGGATACTTGACATCCATCATTCTAGTTATGGCTAGCTGTATATCTGAATCCCGAATAAAATGACGAATAACGAGCTAGCTTGTTATTTGTTATTCACCGCTTGAATAACAATCTGGTTTATTTACCGACTATACGTCATTTAATGAGTTTTCTCCTGCTAGGGGATACTTTACAATCCATTATTCTATTGTTGTATAGTGATCGTTTTGAATTAAATCCTGAATTATCCTCATTAAACATGCATGAACCCCTTCATATATGAATCCCGAATAACGAGGTGAAAAACGAATAACAAACAGCTTGTTATTCGTTATTCATCGCTTGAATAACAATCTAGTTTATTTACCGACTATATGTCATGTAATGAGTTTTCTCCTGCTAGGGGATACTTTGCAATCCATTATTCTATTATTATCTAGAGATCGTTTTGAATTAAATCCTGAAATATTCTCATTAAAGATACATGAACACCTTCATATGTGAATCCCGAATAACGAGGTGAAAATCGAATAACAAACATCTCGTTATTCGCTGCTTGAATAACAATGTGGACTGTTTTCGTCTAGAAGTCGTTTTGTTGTGTTTTATACTACTGTGGGATACTTGACATCCATCATTCTAGTCATGGCTAGCTGCATATCTGAATCCCGAATAAAAAGTTGAATAACGAATAGCGAATAACGATTCAACTTCACACTGCCAAATATTATCTAAAATTAAATTTAGATGGTGAAATGGCAGAACAAGATGGAATGGTACCATTACCGTTGCAATTTGTCTCGAGACAGGTCACCTTGTTATTTGTTATTCAATATTCACCGCTTGAATAACAATCTGGTTTATTTACCGACTATACATCATTTAATGAGTCTTCTACTGTTAGGGGATACTTTGCAATCATTATTCTATTGTTATCTAGAGATCAGTTTGAATTAAATCCTGAATTATCCTCATTAAAGATGCATGAACCCCGTCATATGTGAATCCCGAATAATGAGGTAAAAAACGAATAACAAACAGCTTGTTATTTGTTATTCACCGCTTGAATAACAATCTGTTTTTTTTACCGACTATACGTCTACTAATGAGTTTTCCACTGCTAGGGGATACTTTACTATCCATTATTCTATTGTTGTATGGTGATCGTTTTGAATTGAATCCTGAATTATTCTCATTAAAGATGCATGAACCCCTTCATATGTGAATCCCGAATAACGAGGTGAAAAACGAATAACAAACAGCTCGTTATTCGCTGCTTGAATAACAATGTGGGTTGTTTTTCATCTAGAGGGAGGTTGGATGGCCGAATGGTTAGCATTCGCGCGCTGTATCATACGGTCTGTCATTGAGTCAACTGGCGGGGTTTCGATTCCCCGGTTGTACGTGACAAGGAGTAGGGTCCCCTGCCCAACCTCGTTGGTTTTCTCCGGGTCCTCCGGTTTCCTTCCACAGCTAAATACCCCTACGCGCAAGCGAATTATTGAAATAAAATTAAACCATATGTTAGTCCCGAAATGACCTAGTTTGTGTCGAGTGGACGTTAAACACCATTTCTCCCTCTCACTTTTTCGTCTAGAGGTCGTTTTGCTGCGTTTTTTGCTGCTTGGGGATACTTGGCATCCATCATTCTAGTCATGGCTAGCTGCATATTTGAATCACGAATAAAAAGCTGAATAACGAATAATGAGGTGGCGTATCCCTCGTTATTCTCAAATATTGGTGAATAACGAATAACGAAAAACGATCCAACTTCACACTGCCTAACTTTTATGTATTTATTGTGGTATAACAAGATCACATTAATGTCAGCATTTACATATATCAAATGTATAAGCTTGCAGATAGTCGAATGGACCGTATAATTATATTAGGTAGCCCTAAATGTTCCTATTTCTTGCTTTAAACATACCACTGAACCAGAATTAAGAAATTATTAGTTGTTTAAATTTATGATTGATAGAAAGCAATGGGGAACCATACACTATGTAAATGACAACAAAATCATTTCCCAAATAAAGAACAGACAAAAAAGTCATTTATTTAGATACAAATTCGTTCTTTTACTTTAGTCCTTCAAGCACAAATTATGGCATTGTATGCAAATTTCTATGAATTTTATTCATTTTATATTAAGTCTCTTTGTATGTAGAACAAAAACAAGCCTGTCTTCGTTGATAGATCTCAATACCACAAGAAAATATTGTATCCAACGCCATGTTTAATGGGGTCATTGCTGATTTGCTACAATTTTTGGAGTTAGATAGAAGTTCTAATGGAGACAAAATAATTAGATTCCTTGACTATATTTTGAATTATTATTGTTTTTAAATGGATTTAAATTATCTTTAACATAACAGTTAAAATAGCTTTGCCTAGTTTCTCATATAAAAATGTAGAAATGCGTCTCCCAGTCTTATTCACAACATGTCTAATTTTCACATTTCCCTTCGAGCCTCACATTGAGTCACACAAATGTATATCACCGTTACATCCTAATGATGGTTGAGTTTGAATTTCGTGAAAATTGGACCAAAACTGACGGACAAAATGGCCGTCCCTCGTATAACGCAAATGGTGTAAGTATGTGGTATATCAAGGTTGTAGACACTCTAGAGCAGGGCTTCCACTTTAAATTTTCACTGCCAGTCATTTTTGATAACGCACGAAAACTTTTCAAAGTAAATTCATATTTCATGTTTTTTATTCATGGTAGGGTATTGTGACTTCACGTGTCTATACCACTTTGTCACCATGGGGTGCACAAAAAAAATAAAAAAATATATTTGACTTAAAAATGAAATATTAGTAAGGCTCATGATAATTATTTAATAATTAAATATTCCGTTTTGGCTACTTAAATAACGAAATAGTTGAATTGGCCGGAGAAAAACCATTTCAGTAGCTCACACGTAATTAACATGTGCTCTATAGAAAACACACTGACCTGGATAATTTTGAGTTGTAATACAATAACTTTGAAATGAAGATAAATATATAATTATCCATGGCATATATCTCACATTTTTTTGGTTTTAGACCATCTCTTACGGAATTAGGGGCCGCAGAATTGTGACGTAAATCCTAATAATGTATAACTAAATGACTAACGGATAACTAACTTCACGGCTAGCGACACTAGCGCCCCCTAGAATATGGTCGTGTATAAGAGTAACCGTATATACACGACATTTCTTCTACACGTGGAATTATCCATATTGCTGCACAATAGAACTGGAATACGTATTTTTCTTAATTGTTAATTGTTAACTAATCTCTAGACTTTATTTCAACAATTTCCACAAGGCCGTAATACCGCTATAAACATTTTTAAATGCATTTTTCTCCCAACACGTACGTTGTTGAGGACTTAAGTAATTTCTATGCTTTTTTTATTTTATATGACAGTTGGTTGGATTCGGAGAGCAATACTTCATATCAATTGTCCTTTTTCGAAGATCATAATAACCTCATTTACATAATGCCTGACCGTAATAGCGGTAAACGGCTTTGTTGTTGAAAATTCTTATGACACGTGGACAATACGTGAATGATTAACAATGGGCCACTTCACGCCGTTGATTAGATTCCCACTTATCAATTAACATTTATTGTTCTACTACCAGACACTCATCACCAGACACACACAACACTCAGTATAATCTGTTGACGACTATATATACAACTCTATAACACCAATCACGAGATTGGCTTCTAGACGACGTGCATTCTTGTATAGTTACACAGTGAAGGTCGATCGTAGCCATGTTTGAAATTGTTTTTTTTTTAAAAAAAGACCCTCTTTCCGGCGTGCAAAATGACCGTTAGGTCAGATCTAGGAACGGTCATTTTCCATAGCCATAGGTCTCGACCGGCATATACGGCCGACGTGGACCCCATGCTCTAGAGGCCACAATTTTTTTACGATTTTGATGCAACGTTAAATTTATGCTTATATCACAAAGATCTTGGTTCCTTTCGATATTCGCACATATCGGATCGTAACTTCCTGAATTATGGCCCTTGATTGTATGAATAATCGCGTCTTAAGCTTGTGGTCCCTCTTGAGGAAACAAATTTTATTATATTGAAAAAAATGTTTGATTATATCACCGTTACACCCTAATGATGGTTGAGTTTCAATTTCATGAAAATCAGACCAAAATGGCCCCCCCCACCCCCCCGTACGCAAATAGTAAACATCTGGTATATCAAGGTTGTGGACCCTCTAGAGGTCATAATTTTGATTCGATTTGATGAAACTTGAAATGCATGTTTATAACCTAAAGATCTTGGTTCCTTTCTATATTTGCGCTTATTGGATCGTAACTTCCTGAATTATATCCCCTGATTGTACGTGGTTCTAAATTTTAGTATTGGGTTAGAATTGGGATCCGTGAATTCACTCATTTCTATGGTATAATTCAAGTATTCTTTCAGTTTGAGGTAGTATGTGATGTTATTTGGTAGTAATTAGTTAGTATTGTGTAAATCAACTTACAGCTGCCTACTTGGCAATTTGTCAGACAATTTGGACCATATTTTACTTGCTATCTCTGAAAACATGTATAGTATCACTTCTACTCAACAACATATTCCTGGCAGGTTATAAATACTGAAAGAGAAAAACCCTTGCTGATCAGGGCTTTTATTTGAATAGAAGTTTTTATAACAGTCTCCATTTGGGAATGTTCCGATTAGTTATTTTGCATGGCAGATGAATCCATTAATGAATAAAAGTATAGATATTAATTAGTTGCACTAAAGTTGATTTTCTTTATTTAAGGATACAGCTTTTAGTTGGGATGATTTCTTGTTAAAGAATAACAGTGAATTACTAAATAACCTGGGAAACTTTGTCAACAGGTAAGATAGTACTAGTAGACAATATTCAACGCTTTAATAGTTTTTATACGCCCACATTTTCATGTGGACGTATATTGTCGTCACCCCTGTCCGTCCGTCCACAATTGTTTGTGGACACTATACAGGTCACAATTTTTATCCAATTTCAACGAAACTCGAAATACAGGTTTATCTCCCTAAGATCTCGGTTCCTTTCGATATTCGCGCATATCGGACCGTAACTTCCTGAATTATAGCCCCTGATTGTACGAAAAATCGCATTTGTAGCTTGTGGACCCTATCGACCCAAAACTGACATACAAAATGGCCGCCCCTCGTTCTCAAATAGCGTAAAAATATGGTATATCAAGGTTGTGGAACCTTCAGAGGTCACAATTTTCTTCTGATTTTGATGAAACTTGAAATGTAAGTTTATAACCCAAAGATCTTGGTTCCTTTCGATATTCGTGTATATCGGACCGTAACTTCCTGAATTATGGCCCCTGATTGTACGAAAAATAGCATTTTTAGCTTGTGGACTCTATAGAGGTCATAATTTTTATCTGATTTTAAAAAAACTTTTTAATATATCACCGTTACACCCTAAGGATGGTTGAGTTTGAATTTCGTAAAAATCGGACCCAAACTGACAGACAAATTGGCCGCTCCTCGTACTCAAATAGCGTGTAAATATGGTATATCAATGTTGTGAACCCTCTAGAGGTCACAATTTTCTTCTGATTTTGATGAAACTTGAACTGTAAGTTTATAATCCATAGATCTTGATTCTTTTCGATATTCGCGCATATCTGATATTAACTTCCTGAATTATAGCCCCTGATTGTACGAAAATTGCGTTTTTAGCTTGAGGTCCCTCTAGATGTCACAATTATTATCCAATTTAAAATAACGTTCAAATATATCACTGTGACACAGTAATTTTGGTTGAGTTCGAATTTTGTGAAAATCGGGCCTAAACTGCCAGACAAAATAGCCGCCCATCGTACGCAAATAGTGTATAGCATCTGGTATATCAAGCTTGTGGACCCTCTAGAGGTCACAATTTTGACCTGATTTTGATGAGAGTTGAAATACATGTTTATAACCCAAAGATTTTGGTTCCATTCGATATTAGCTTGCCGTCCATGTAGAGGTCACAATTTTTATCCGATTAAAAAAAACATGTGAATATATCACCATTACACACTAATATCTTCGTTCCTTTTGATAATCGCGTATATCCGAACGTAACTTCCTGGATTATGGCTCACAAATTTTTTTCCGATTTTAAAAACCGTTTAAATATTTCTCCATTCCACCATAATGAAGGTTGAATTCGAATTTCGGGAAAATCGAAATGAAACTGCCCGACAAAATGGCCGCTCTTTGTATGCAAATTGTGTAAAAGTATGCAATACGAAGGTTGTGGACCCTCTAGAGGTCACAATTTTTATCATATTCTGATATTTGCGCATTTCAGACCATAACTTTTGGATTATTGCCCCTGATTGTACAAAAATTCCTGATTGTTTTTAGCTTATTTTCTATCCATCTCTTGCAAAATGTGGGCGTACCCTGTCTGGCAGCCGCTGGCTATAAATCTTTTTGTTAGATACAGAACCAAGAAAAGACTACTCAGTAATATTGACAAATTCAACTACCATTAAATGTAGTTTATTTAGGACTGAAAATCTTTAGTGCCAGAGACAAAATTATTGGTGACAGTTTTTTTTAAACCATTACTGAGCAAAACGTTTGAGTAACTGATTGGTCATGCAAAATAAAACAAATTATCGTTTCATTAAAATGATAATGACTTGGATTGATGAATAGTCCGACAAAGGGGAAGCAATGACTTCTGTTTAAGATTAGATTGATGAATTGTCCAACAAAGGATTAAGTCAGTCAATCAAGCCAGATTAAGTAGTTAATCAAGGTAGGTGTATAGATGGTATAACACGATAAATACATTGATCACTTAATTACCTAATCAGTCCAGCCTATTATCAACGATAATTGGGTGAAGTGGTAGTTATACACTCAGAACACTATATTAATTTTGGAATTTTGAATATTATTCACCATGTCTTGATTTTCGATCGGGCATATTCCTGGTCGGACAATTTAGGACATTTGGAAAATAGCGTCAGACATGTCCGGAATATATGGGCGAAACCCCATCTCTGATCGTGTGTAATGCTAAATTTGTAATCTACACCAAAAGTTTTCTTAGATTACAAAGTTAAAGAGTTCAACTTCTATTAGAAATGTGAGTTTAAAGCACCCGAAAACCTGAAAAGAAAAAAACTGAATTTATGATCCGTTTCAGTACCCTAATTTCAAATGGCCATATCTCGCCGAGTTTTCGACCTAAAGAGGTATAATTTTGGACTTGTTAGCTTAAGGCCACATTCTGTAACATATATTTTTTATAATTTTTTGGGAGGGGTTCATGTTCCGAAATATGGTACTACCAGTAATCTCCGGATAGGCATACTTTTTGGTCTGTATCTATTACTTTGTAGCTCCAGAAAGTATACAATTATACCAAATTTTATTCGGTTTTCATGGCCAAATAGCATTGATACATATTTTGTTTCGAAAACTGATGGTAACTCATGAAACTCAATGCCTGTATCTCAGTCAATTTTCAATCTACAGTTTCTGATTTTTACATGTACAATGACATATATTTTTTCCAGATTTTTTCGAGGGGGTCGATTTCCCACTCCTGGCCCACTTGACAAGGAATGACCCATCTAGAATATATTTAGATATGGATTAGAATAACAATAACAATAGCAAAAGGAAAATTTTGCACTAGTCTTTTTTTGCGTGAGTAATGAAATACTCACACAGTGTTTCTTCGGTGGCAAGCATAGATAATGATGATTGAGTCTGCATTTCGTGAAAGTTGGACTGAAACTGCCAAACAAAATGGCCGTTCCACGTACGCAAATAGTGTAAAAGTATATAATTTATAATACCAAGGTTGTGGACCAACTAGAGATGAAACTTAAAAATATGTTTATATCCCAAAGATCTGGCTTCCTTTCGATACTAGAGCGTATCAGATTGTAACTTCCTGGATAATGGCCCCTGATTGTTAAAAAAATCGCTTTTTTTTTTTTTTAGCTTGTTCTCTGTCCATCTCTTTCTTGGCAACTGCTTGTTAACTGATTTTTTTTTTCAAATTTCGATTTGAAACTTTGGGACAATAAGAGATTGAGCCCCATAGATTTTTTCCTGTTGGCTGTCCATCTCTTGCAAAATGTGGGCGTATCTTGCATGGCAACCACTTGTATTGCATTATAGTTGTAAAAACTAATGTTTCATAAATTAAATGTTTATTTAAGGGGTTTAGCATTTGTATCAAGTAGTTTTGGTGGTGTTATTCAAGAAATTCATCTAACAGAAAATGATATACAGACAGTTGCTTTAATCAACAGAGAATTACAGACATATATAAACAACATGGAGAATACTAGGTTAGTGTTTATAAAGCCTGGCGCACATTACGTGACAACTTAGTTACAGATATCGCCACAATTTAACCCTTTCAATGCTAGACGTAAATCCACTGCCTGTGCTAGACCAATTTTTGAGGAAAAAAGTGGGTTTGGAACTGAATGCCAAACAGTACTTATGGAAGCTTTTATGAAAATTCTTTTTGTGTGTTGGGATGGACATGAGGTTGGGCTAAGGGGAAAAAATAGAATTTTGGAAATTTACATAATCATGTAGTCACGTGACATCATGGTGGCCATTTTGGATTTCTCATTTCTCACTAAAGCTAACACGAAAACGAATTTTTCTCCATGAAATACTTATGGGATATTGTTTTTTTTACTGGATTTTGATAAAGATATATAAAATGAACAAAAATATCAATAGCAGCCATGAGCAATGCCACCACTAACACGTGCAATTCATCTCCCGCTGCCATGACCACGTGCGGATTGCAATAACTTGTTTTTACTTTCACTTTCACTTTCATCCTCGCGTCCCATATCATTATCACTATAGTCAGTCAATAGGTCTAAATGTTCGAAACTCAGGAATTGCCTACGTCTTTTACGATCCAGCAGGCCAGCATTATTATCAACATCAGAATTATCGTCAGAATCTACTGAAGACATGCTACATAGGGATATCATGTTCAGATTGGGCTTGTTCATCATGCATGGGAGACAAAGCCATAGGCGGATGGTCGCGCAACAAATCACGCACTTCATGCTACCAATCACTGTCCTGACTACTATTATTATCAACTAACTGAAAACGAATTATGTGTATCAGTACCCGCCTCGAAATTGTCCACACTGTCTTTGTCAGCGAAGTTATCATTCACGATTTCGCCGAGATTGCATCGTCTACTTTTTTGTCACTATGCACTCCGCCATTTTACAGTTTGCCACTTTGAAACACGTGGAAATATGTTCTAGTGTACAGAAAATACAATAGATGGCACTTCCAGCTACAGTGCTAATTTTAGTGAGGTCCATACTGAGTACATAACGACATTTTATAATACCCTGCACTACCGGGTAGACGCAATGAAAGGGTTAAGTAGAGTGAGCACACTACACTACAATTCTAGCTATCGCACAAAATACAAACTGTCACATGTTTCGACATGTGACACCTCAAAATACATTTTCGTCGTTAGTGCGTTAAATGAATAATTTAATATTGTTATTGTCCCCCGCCTTTAGAAGAAAGCAGGGGACTATTAAAATGGGTTCGTCTGTCTGTCTGTCTGTCTGTCTGTCTGTATGTATGTCCGTCCGTCCGACAGTCACTTTTTGGGACACAATAACTCACCTTCTAATTGACCTAGAATGTTCAAACTTGGTGTAGGTGTTTATTAGGTCAATACCTTGATGGAGTTCGAAGATGAGCATTTTCTGCTTAGGGTAAGCAGAGATAAGCAATTTGATTGGTTGATGCTTTGGGACACGATAACTTTAGTTCTAATTAAGTGAGAGTGATGAAACTTGGTGTATAGTTTCATTACATCAATACCTTGACTCAGTTCGATGATGAGAATTGTCTGCTTAGGCTAAGGAGCAATAAGCATTTTGATTGGTCAAGACTTTGGAACATAACATCTCTGCTTCTAATTGAGGTAGAATGTTTAAACTTGATGTAGATGTTCCCCTTGACTGAGTTCAATGATTAACATATTGAGCTAAAGCTAAGCAGAGAAAATCAATTTCCTTGGTCGATGCTTTGGGACAAGATAACTTTGATTCTCTCTGAAAGAGAGTGATGAAACTTCGTGTATAGTTGATAATCAGTTTGATTGCTTGATACTTTTGAAAAAAATAGATGTGCGATTAATTAATATGTGTCATCTGTGGATTTCGTCGGGGGACATCAGCCTCACTGTTTGCTTGTTGTACATGATGATGAGGCGCCAGTCGAGTGCAGGGCGTTTATAATAGTAAACTAATTAACAAGCTCAAGTTTGGCGACTCTTGTACATACAGAAAATAGGCTACACAAGGATGAGCCCATAAATATTCCAGAGTATCATAGATATAATTAGCCTTCTTATTACAAAACAATCAAGATGAGAAAACCAATAAGGGCAGGAGAGCAAATTGTCTCCTTAACGGTCATTTTAATTACCGTCTATGAATCCTAGGCCTATATTATTGTGGAGTATATTGCACGCTGTAGCATACGTGACCAACCTCATGGGTTTTCTCCGGATCCTCCAATTTTCTCCCACTGCCAAAGACCCCTACACGCAAGCAAATTATTGAAATAAAAAATTTGAACTATGTGTTAGTCCCGAAATGACCTAGTTTGTGTCAGTGAATGTTAAACCCTCTCTCTCTCTCTCTCTCTCTCAACAAACATTCAGAGAAACCTGTTGTGTGTTTATGTCACACGAGACACATGAGATAAATAACTAAAACTGATTGGTTTAATAGGTAATTTGATTTCCTTGTTTGTAGCCAACATGTCAAATATTCGCTACCATCGCAGCAATGGTTACTGGTGACGAAAAATCGCAAGTGACTGGGTGAACACTTTTGGCGATTTTTTTACGCCCACATTTTCATGTGGACGTATTGTGGTCGCCCCTGTTCATCAGTCCAGAATTTGTTTGTGGACACTCTACAGGTCACAATTTTTATCCGATTTTGACGAAACTTGAAATATAGGTTTATCTCCAAAAAATCTTGGTTCCTTTCGGTATTGGTGTGTATCGGATTATAGCCCCTGATTATACGAAAAACCATGTTTTTAGTTTGTGGATGCTCCATTGGTCACAATTTTTATTATACGCCTACATTTGTGAACAGTCCACAGGTCACAATTTTTATCCGATTTCAATGAAACTTGAAATATAGGTTTATCACCCTAAGATCTTGGTTCCTTTCGATATTGGCATGTATCGGACTGTAACTTCATGGATTATGGCCCCTGATTGTACGAAAAATCACGTTTTTAGCTTGTGAACACTGTAGAGGTCACAATTTTTATTTCTAATTAAGTGAGAGTGATAAATTTTAGTGTATATTTTCATTACATCAATACCTTGACTAAGTTCGATAATGAGCATTTTCTGCTCGGGGTAAGCAGAGCGATAAGCAATTTGATTGGCCGAGACTTTGGAACAGAATAACTCTCCTTCTAACTGTGCTAAAATGTTCAAACTTGGTGTAGGTGTTTATTAGATCAATGCCTTGATGGAGTGTGAAGATGAGCATTTTCTGCTTAGGGTAAGTAGAGATAAGCCATTTGATTGGTTGATGCTTTGGGACACGATAACTTTAGTTGCAATTAAGTGAGAGTGATGAAACTTGGTGTATAGTTTCATTACATCAATACCTTGACTAAGTTCGATATTTATCATTTTCTGCTCAGGGTACAGAGCGATAAGCAATTTGATTGGCCGAGACTTTGGAACACAATAACTCTGCTTCAAACTTGGTGTAGGTGTTTATGAGGCCGATGCCTTGATAGAGTGCAAAGATGAGAATTTTAAGCTTATGGTAATAATAATAATAATAATAATAATAATATATGCATTTATATCGTGCTGACATTCACTACTGATAGCAATTTGATTGGTTGATGCTTTGGGACACGATAACTTTAGTTCTGATTCAGTGAGGGTGATGAAACTTAGTGTTTAGTTTCATTACATCAATACCTTGACTAAGTTTGATGACGAGAATTGTCTGCTTAGGCTAAGGAGCAATAAGCATTTTGATTGGTCAAGACTTTGCAACATAACAACTCTCTTCTAATTGAGGTAGAATGTTTAAACTTGATGTAGATGTTCGTCTTGACTGAGTTCAATGATTAACATATCGAGCTAAAGCTAAGCAGAGATAAGCAATTTCCTTGGTCGATGCTTTGGGACAAGATAACTTTGATTCTATCTGATAGAGAGTGATGAAACTTAGTGTATAGTTGATAATCAGTTTGATTGCTCGATACTTTTAAAAATAATACATATGCGATTAATTAATATATGTGACCCCCACAGCATACTGAGTCACAATGAGGAAATTTTGAAAATTGAGTTATTGTTATTTTCACAATCTCCAACTCATTACCTTCAATTTGATGTATAGTTTGTTTGAATTGGGCAAAAATTGACTGAGCTGTGTCCATTAGAAGCTACCTAACTCACAAAAGTAAGTTTTGAGAAAAAGCAAGTCAAAGATTTGGTATGTTCCAAAACAAAATCCCATAGCAACCAGGCCATTTATCTGCTGTTTTGTCGTTGAATATATCTTTCCATGGGTTTTCAGGGGTAAAAATTTGATCCGACTATTTCAGCAATTTATTTGCTATATTTTGTCGTTTAATATGTTTATTATTTAGGATTTCAAGGGTGCTGACGACGAAAATCGTAATAAATGCACTCCTTTCGTAACGAAACATCCACAACACATACGGCATAATATTCACATGATAGTGTTATACTGAAGAACAATCTATACATTAGTAGTCTGTTGTGTATAATATAACTTTAGTGAGATTAACTTAACAAAGTTAATCTCATCAATTAATTAGCACCTTAGTTCCAGCTAGTGGTCAGGAGATTAAGATTGTTGATTGGATAATCATCAAAGAAGCCGCCACAGCTGTACGCGTGTTCATTTAACACGTGAATTAAAATAAGATTTTGCATGTACGATAGGTCTATTATTATTTTCAGGTACCGTGACGTTATCAAAATATGAGTCCCTATAGAAATGTCAATTTCATAGTCAAGAAATGCTTACGTTCACTTTCGTGCATTTTGGCTTTGATGTAAATATCAACATTATTCAGAGGATACTCAATGGCAGACTCGAGAATCGTCGCATATTGGCTCGTTGGTCGTTCTCATTTTTTCGACCCATTGTGATAGGAGAATTTTAAACAATAATATCCCAAATGCATTCCTTACTTTGCATGCCGTATGAAGAAGCGACGGTAAACGGAATTCGGCTATCAATAAAATTCTCTTTGAAAA